TTTTTTTTTTTTTTTTCAAAGAAGGCCCCAGCATTGGTACCCTGTACTGCAAGGTGCAAGCTGTCCGAGGACACAGGGTGTCGGTCTTTTCTGTGTCTGCCTGGTTTCTCCACACTAAATTACTATTTTCCCTTTTTAAGGAATAATTATCACACAGTGCAACACTTTATAAACATTTAAATATTCAGTTTTCATATGTTGCCTACCAGTTTTATCACATATTTATGATTCTTGCTATGGTGTTTCTGCAATGATTTTCTTTTCTACAATTAAGGAATTTTACTGAAAGGAAGAGATATAACCTCTTTTTCATCTGTTTATTTATGTGATATGGATTTATAGATTCTGTTGTGGTCCATGAATTGCCCAGGCAGGACTTGAACATGATTGCCTTGTCACTTTCTCACTGCTGGGACACCATATGTGACATCACCAAATGAAAGAGTTTACTTTGGCTCATGGTTTTTATAGGTTTTAGCCCATAGTCAGTGGGCTCCAGGACAGGGCAGCACTGAGAAGGAGCTTCTAAGGAGGAAAGCTGTTCACATCCTGGCAGCCAGGAAGCAGAGGGACAAAAGAGGCAGGGGGATAGCCCCTTTTCAGGTCACAGACCCAGTGACCAGTCGTGGTGGTTGATGCATTGTGCCAACTTGAGATGTTGGAAACTTGGCTGGATCTGCCTATCCATTCTACGCCCTGGGGTATGGGGGCCCTGCCCTAGGGTGAGGAGGACCTGCCCCAGAGTGCTCAGCACAGAAAAGGTATATAAAGGAGTTGAGGAAGGCTTCTGCACCCAACTTCCAGGGAGGAGTTCTGATCTTCACCTCACAGCCGTGCCCCACTTCACAGCCTTGCCACTTCAGAGGAGCTTGGATCTCTGTGGTGGAGCTCAGGTCTTTGCCTTCAGTATAGAAGGAAGAGAGAGAGTCTTGATGGACACCACAGCTGCTGCTCCTTCTCTGTTCTTTGTTGTTTTCTGCCACTGTATATTGCTGCCATTTGCCTTGGAGCCACCAGAGTATGAACTGAAACTTCCACAAACTGTGAGCTAAATAAACCTTTCCTTCCTTCATTATGAATATTGGTATTTTGTCCCAGCAACAAGTAAAAAGTAACCAAGACACCAGTCTTCTGTGCAGACTTCACCCCTAGCAAGTCCATACCCATACCATAAGGCAGTCACCTTCCAAAAGCCATGCCCAAGGGTGCATGAGGCATCAGCAACCCTTGAGACCCATTCTCTGCCACATTCTCTCAGAGTGCTGGAATTACAGGGGTTCACTTCCACACCTGCTTCTGTCCGTTATTATCACTTTAGCACTCAGGTTGTCCCATATTTGGTCACTGGGAATCCTTTTCTCCTTTGTTTCTTCATGCCTCCCAATTTTTAATGATCTTTTTATTGGTGTATTGTAGGTATATATAATGATCACATTCATTATGGAGAATTTGAACCCATACATGATATAACTCCCATTACTTTCCTTACTTTTTTAAACATTTCCTTACTACCTGCCACTCATTATTTCCAGGCTCCACCCATATTTTTATAGATCCAGTCCTGAAATTCAAGGATTCCTGATTCCTTTTGATAGAGACAGATATTTAGAAATCAAGAGCTGAACGCTGAGTGCTTATCAGAAAGCTTATAAGAATGACCCACATCTACAGACCTTCAAAGATAGGGAACAAAATTACATACTTACTTCAACAGTATGTTTTACTATTGTATTGATGATTGACCCCAAGAATCATTGAGCTAGAATATTCCATGTCAGAAATATCTTAGCCAAGCAAAAAATCAAAGTTTTGGACATTGTTTGAAAAACCCTTTAACGCACGCTAGAGACATTTGAGGGGGCGCCTGTGCTGCTGCTCACCTGAAAGGCACAGCACTGGGAGACATCAGCCAGAGATTTAGAAGCTGCTTAGTAACCAGGCACAAGCTCAAGTCAGTTACTGGAAGTGCTTTTTAATCCTGAACTGGTGAGGTCCCCACAATTTCATATACTATTAGCATCATGATAGACCATAGAAGTCAGTCTGGAAATCTAAGAAAATGTGTGGAAAGAAAGATGGAAACAAGACCAATTAAAAATGTTGGGGCAGCCAACATGTAATTGTTTTTTTTAACTTACACGAACACTCTTAGAAGGAAAGTCTTATAACTAATGAGATGCAAATAACATGCAACCATTTTCTGTATCAGAAAACATTCTAACACAATTTGCATGAAAAGCAACAGATTTGATAAGATCAATAAAACTCTTGTATACCAGTGAGAAAAGAACCCAGAACACGGAGTCATTGTCTAGGAGATAAAAGGCACCAGTTGGATCCAAAGGGACAGAAGATATGTTTTCAAGACAGCGTGGTGGCAGAATTGAGGAAGAGCATTGACAGTGACAACATAAACATAGACAGGAAATGTTCTCCTTCCACCCAGTTTTCAGTCCTTGCTTCTCTTTGAGGGGTGAGACCAATGGACATAGAACTCACTGCTGTCTCCTAAGATCTCCTTTCCTTTTTCCAAAAC